AGTTTACTAGCTGATTTCCGTCCCCAGGGCTCCTAGAGGCAGGCTATTACAAAGACCCAGCCTTGAAATCAGACTGGGTTTAAATCCCAGCCTGTCATTTAATGGTTGTGTAGCCTTGGGCAAGTCTTACCCATGTCCTGGCTGACTACAGCTACTTCTGCCAGCCTGTGGACACCAGCTGGAGGGAGCTCGCACTAAGGGTATGGCCCGCTGTGGACGGGAGACGGTTGAGAGCAGCGGTTGCTGACAGCGGGAGTCTGATCAGGATGGCCTCCCCTGAGGCTTCTGCTGGGAGGCAGTGGCCGGATTACTTGAGCATACGCCGCAGTAGAGACAGGCTGCTTCTGGAGGAATCTCAGCTTGGCCGGTCGCTGGCTGTGTGACCCTGGGGCACTTACCTAGCTTTTCTGAGCCTCTCTTGTCTTGCCTATGCAGTGAGGAGAGCAATCGCTGCTTTATGAAAGGAAGTGGCTTTGAGGAGATTGGTTCAGAGAATGCATGAGCATGTTCACTCAGGGCCTGGCAGTGAGAACTTGGCTTACGACATAGCTCTTGCATTAGAGTGAGCTGTAAGGTTTTCACTGGGGACAGAATGAAAGGTTTCTTTCCAGCACAAAGCGTCTAATAGGGCCCAAGGCTCCACCCAAGCACAGGGAGTGTGTGGCCCAGATGTTGACTGGCAGGCTGTGGGTTTGCCAGCTTAAAGTGTGGTCTGGACTGGCAGCAGCGTGAACATGGGGGAGTGTTTGAAGTGCAGCGTCTCGGGCTCCACCCTAGACCCACTGATTAAGATTCTGCTTTTCAACGAACAGTCTCAGGTGGTCTGTGCACACCTGAGATGGAGGTGTTTGGGACTGGGGTCTTTAGGAGAGTCCTACAACCATGGGAGGAATCCTGGTGGATCTGTGCTTAAGCATTCAGCTGCTAACAGGAAGGTTTGGCTCCACCAGCCTGCTCCCTGGGTTCAAGATATGACTCTCTGCTGCTGTAAAAATGGACAGTTGAGAATGAGGGGAGTCAGAGCAGAGACCCCAACCCCATCTGTAGACAATGGGACCCTCACAGAAGGGTCACAAGGAAGGGATGAGTCAACCAGGGTGCAATATAGTACCGATAAAACACACAACATTTCTCTGGTTCCTTGAGGTTTCCTCACCTCCCACTATCACGACCCCAGCCCTTTCACTGTGGCCTAGACTGGAGCATGTGCACAGGTACAGCGAAGAGATAAGAGCCCATGACACGTGGAATCCAGGAACAGGAATGGGAGTAGTGATACCAAGAGGGTAGGGGGAAGGTGGGGAGAGGAGAGGAGGAAGAGGGAGCTGCTTGCAATGATGAACACCTAACCACATACACCCCTGCCAGGGGGACAGAAACTGTGGGGGAAGGGAGACAGTGGTCTGTGTAAGACATGAAAATGATCATTTATAATTTAGCAAGGGGTCAGGAGGGTGGGAAGGGAGGGGGTGGAGGGGAAAAAGAGGAGCTGATACCAAGGGATCAAATAGAAAGTAAATGTTTAGAAAATAATGACGACAGCATCTATACAAATATTCTCGATACAATTGATGTATGGATTGTTACAAGAGCTGTAAGAGTCCCCAATAAAATGATCTTAAAAAAAAAAGGATGGACAACTTTGGAAACCTCTGAGGCAGTTCTAGCCTCTTCTTGTAGGGTCGCTCTGAGCGAGAATCCTCTAGATGGCTTGAGTTTTGTTATGTTCTCTGTTCTCTGCTTATGGACGGGTGGGCAATGTGGGACGAGGGGTGCAAGGACCAGGGTGGAAGTGGGGCTGAAGCCCATTTGCCTCTGCTGGATGTCAGTCTGACTGCACTTTCCCTTGATGACCGGCAGATGGCGAGAGCGTGCTGGTGGTGCTTTTTCTCCAAGGCGGTTGAATTGCTGGACACGGTGAGCACCCAGGGGCCCATGCCTGGAATTGCCTGTCGTTGCAGTCTGGAGTCCTGTGCGGTCAGTCCTGTGAGCGCACTTGGCAAGTTATGCTCAGTCCCTGGGAGTGTTCTCAAGGTTTCCATATGGGGCCGGGCAAGAGGCTGATGGTTTGGTTTGGGCACCTGGCTGATTAAGGTGCTCATGCACTGAGCTAATGTAGTGTAGCTTCTCACCACTGCAGGCTGGCTGGAGCCTGCTCATCGGTGGGCACTTGCACAAAATCGGCCTGTGTGCCTTCAGCAACCAGGTTCCAGGTTAAATTAAAATAGAGCACTACCCAAATAACAAACCTGACATTAGGTGGCCCTGGTCATCAGACAGCAAAGGCCATTCAAGTGCTGATGAGGAGAAGAAACCCTGAGGGTCAGTCCCTAGGGCTTGTGAAGCCAGGGGGGCGGGGTGGGGGGGCAAGGTTATGTTTGTGGGATCGTGGTGAGGGGGAGGGACTTTCACTTAGCAGAATGGAGTCAGAGCATCTGAATATAGAAAGATTATACACACACACACAGAGAGAGAGAGAGAGAGAGAGAGTTTACTAGCTGATTTCCGTCCCCAGGGCTCCTAGAGGCAGGCTATTACAAAGACCCAGCCTTGAAATCAGACTGGGTTTAAATCCCAGCCTGTCATTTAATGGTTGTGTAGCCTTGGGCAAGTCTTACCCATGCCTCCATCTCCCTATCTCTAAAATGAGGATCATAATAGTAGGGTGCACACACTACAATGTAGCATCTCTATAGTGCGATACATAGAAAGTACCAGGGACGCAGTCGTGCTGTTCAGACGTTTAACTAGGATTGCTCCCCTCTGGGTCTCAGGCTCTCTCGTCTACTAAAACAGACTGAATCACCCTTCCCTATTCCAGGTTGCCCACGACCCTCCGGGAGGAGGTTACAGAGGCAGAACACCTGGATGTGACGTCATCTCTTTTGCCTCCCCAGGTCTTCTTTATCTTGCGAAAGAAGCCCGAACAGATCACCTTCCTGCATGTCTACCACCACGGCACCATGCTCTTCAACTGGTGGGCTGGAGTCAAATACGTGCCAGGTGGACAGGGTAGGTGCCCACCCTAGGGCCAACCCACATCCCCACATCCTGGCGATGTGGGTGCCCTCTGGGGCTGAGTCCCCCAACTTGGGTGCATGGCTTGGCTCTACAGTCCCCCTTCCCTGTGGCCATGACCCCAGGCCTCTTCTTCACATACTGCCTATTGCTGCTCTCAGCTTCCTAGCCCCACATGCAGCCCTACCTGGTCTGGGGAGGTGACTTCTGGAAGATGCTCAGAACCATCCATTCAGAACGTGCACAGGGAGTTTTAAACACTCCTGTCTGGTATTCTGCTAACCCCAACCCACCCCTGTGAGTACAGCTGGCTGATGGGGGACTTTCTTCCTGATAGGGCATTCCCAAGGATTTTCACTGAAGGTTTACAGAGGTGCTTTCTGCAGATTGGAATACTAATGCATGGAAGAGCCATAGAAAAATCAACCAGGCCCAATAACGTTTGTTTTCTTTTATCCCACTCCACTCTGCAGCCTTCTTTATCGGGATGCTGAATTCTCTGGTCCACGTCTTCATGTACCTGTACTACGGACTGGCCAGTCTCGGGCCCCACATGCAGCCCTACCTGTGGTGGAAGCGCTACCTTACCATCCTTCAGCTGGTGAGAAGTTCTCAGAAACCCTGCCATCTGTTCTCAGCTGTACCAATGACCATGGACAAGCTCTTCACAACCTCGGTTTTCCTTAGTGTCCTGGCTGCCGAGGGCCTTGGGAGAAGGCTTATCAGATCTCAGAATCAGCTGAAACTCACTGATGTGAAGCAGGACCCTGAGCGAGTCAAGTCCATTTGAGGTCTTGGTGATCTCGTGATCTGCAAAGTGAGGGGCTGGGCTAGGTGCCCTTAAAACAATGAACCAACCTCACTGCCATCAAGTCCATGCCGACACTGTGAACCCTCTGGGACACAGTAGACCTGCCCCTGGGAGTTTCTCAGGCTGTAGCTCTTTACGGCAGTAGCAAGCCCCATCTTTCTCCTGCAGAGCAGTTTCGAACTGCTGATCTTGCAGTTAGCACCCCACACGTAACCGTGACACCACCAGGGCTCTGACATAACCTGAAGTGCTAATATTCTGAGGGTCTGCTATCTCTCGCTTTGGGCAGCACTGTGAACAGATGGTGGTGATGTCCAGAGGGGTTTGCACGGGGCTCGGATGTGGGGAGTTCAGCATCAGTATCAGCAGAGCAGGACTGGAGCTTGTCGGGGGCGCGGGGGGGGGAGAGGGGGCTTTATCCAGGACCAGGGTCCAGAAGATCCGTAGTCCTCCGGAGGATGTGAAAGGGAGGGGGTTTCACCTGCAGCAGATCTTGTTTTCTTCTTCATGAGCTGTAGGATCCCCCACCTCTGCGGGGCAATGGCGTTCCCGGCCGGTCCTCACTATTGGTTCTGCTTGTCCATCTCTTTCCTCCATCCAGTGTCAACTGGTGGCCATCAGTGCCCACTCCACCTATAATCTCTTTGCCGACTGCCCCTTCCCAGATGGATTCAACATAGCTGTCCTCCTGTACACCCTCAGCCTCATCGCTCTTTTCCTCCACTTCTACCACCAGTCATATCTGAGGGGCAAGCGGGAGAAGCTGGCTTAGCGTGCAAGACTGATGGGCGAAAGGCGCTCACCGAGCAGTCCCCACAGAGTCATGTGGACGATGGCATGACTCACATCCCACCCGTGCTGAGCAGACAATTCGGGACCCACCTTTTCTCCTATGGAAGAAGAGAGAATTCCCTCCTTTCCGGCCTTCAGAGGGAAAGACAGGACACACCTGGACCCACTTCTATCAGAGCACTTGCAGATTTACAACTCTCCTGTCAATTACGCACATTTGTTTGTATAGCCGCTCCCCCTCCTAGATACCTGTGAATCCTTCACGGGTCTAATTCTCTGTGTTCCCTGCCTTGGCCCAGTGCCTGGTGCAGAGTAGGCACTCAATAAACATGTGCTGTTGAGTGATGTGGAGCTCCATCTTCCTTAACTGGCACGCACGGGACTCTGGTGAAGAGCAGGGTGAGTGCACGGACGAAGTCAAGGCTGGTTTGATAGCTCATCTTGCAAATAACCTCCAAGAGTGAATCATGGTCTGCTGATCGCCTGTGTGGTTGTGGAAGTAGTTTTCCCCTGCATATTCGTGTATCGCCTGTCTCTTGCTGCCTGTACATGTTTACAGAATTAGTAATTCTGTTTATGTGTATGAGGGCTGTGAGCGATGGGGTCATGTGTGCATGCCAGGGTGGCATTTATCCAACACATGTGCATGCATGTTTCCATTTGCATTTATTTCTGTGTTGGTTGCTTGTATATTCTATGGACCTCAAAACAAAACGAAGCCCCGAGACCAGTCTCCTACTTCTCTCATATGGGAGACACGAGCATCCATAAGAAATCTTGCTGCACATGCTCCAATAAGATGCTCCAGAGAGAGATTGGGGGAGAAAAGAGAGGGAGATAGAACCAGAGTACAAGCTAGCCAGCCAGCGACGTATCCCAGAGGGAAACTGAGGATCAGTGATGGCGTGTATGTGATTGGGATCGTTGTCGTTGGGAAGAGACAAGCATCTGCTGGGATATTGAAAACGAGAACCGGAGGGTCCCTGGGCAACAGTTTGCCTGAGTAAAGCTGTCTGAAGCCTGCAGAACACATGTGCTGTTTAACCTGTCTCCTGAGTTCTTCCCCAGCTCACTAACTTCTTATCTGGAGATGTCTCACAGGTCGAGAACATGAGAGAAATGCTGAAGGCTATGGAACACTCTTTGGAGACTAATGTATCCACCAGCTACGCTAGTTAAATCAAGGCCCAGAGAAAACTTCCTCTGGGGGTGCAGGATATCAGCACATTCCACGCATTCTTTAATAGGCAGGTTGAATGCCTTAGGAGGATGTCTATTTTAAGGCAAGCATTGAAAAAAAAATGGGGTGCGGGGATGAGCTCTGTTCATTTGCTTAGAAGCCAGGATAAGGGAATGATTAACCATTCTAGAATTCAAAGCGAATGTTTCTCCAGTCCTTTGGGGCTGCCTCTTTGTTAGGCTCAGCCATTACAAGGGGAGTGATGTGTCCCTGGTCACGTCTGAGTCAAATATGAGCCTGGTGTGAGGCAGCAAGGTGAAGAGGAGCCTGGGAAAAAAATTCTTGTCACATTTGGCAACTCTATTTCTGGTTCAGGAATACTTTTAAATAGTGTTTATCAGTGTGGAATAACTGTGAATATTCGAAAGAGTTATTTGTGTTTATCAAAACACAGCCAAGTTCTTACCTTGTCTTGTAGAAGTTCACCTCTGTGAACTGGCAAAGATAATGCTAACGAACGGAACTGGTCAGAGTTTGAGACACAAAGCAGGTCTCGGCTTTTGCCCAGAGCGTACCCACCTGCCCAGACAGGGGCGTTCAGAGGATGGGGATAGGAGGGCTAGTGACCATAGATGGAAGTGAGGGATTTTCTCACCTGTGGGTTCCTCAGTTAGGGTCCATCAAATAAGAAAATGGAAGTCTAAGTAAATTACCCAAAATGGAGATGTTTCCTGGACCTCCTCCACCTCAGAATTGTACGAGGACCCCACCCCCAGCCCCACCCATATACCCACACCATGTCCACTTAGCTGACCAGACTTCCCACAGAGCTGCGCCAGGAATGAGGAAAAAGGCTTTGCCCTTTCTTCACCCTCTCTAATTTTCTGTCCTATGGTTTTCTGTAATAAACAGAGGAGCCCTTGATAAAACAGCCTCCCTCCGTCTTTTGTCTTTGATCCCTAGGCAGTCTGTGAGAGTCCCGGTGGACTAGAGAAATAAATCCAGGGAGACACTCATATCTGTATAAGAAAGAGCTTTATATACAAGAGCAATTGAATATTGAGAAAACATCTCAGCCCAGTCGAGATCAAATCCATAAGTGCGATATTAGCCCATATGTCTGATACTAATCTGTAAATTCTTCTTCAGACTCATGCAACCATGCAATGACACTATATGTGGGAAGATCACAGGCCAGTGGGTGGAAAGTCTTGTGGATTCAGTGGTGGTAGAAGCATCTCAGCACTGACATGGGTCTCCAGGTGGCTCCTCCAGCTCCAGGGCTCTGGCTGCATCAACAGGAACATCTCAAAAGGAGTGTGTGTGTCCCTCTTCCAGTGAGATATTTACCTCCTTAGCGCCTCCAAATGAGGTCATCAAGTTGCGACCTGATTGACAGACCAGACTCCACCCCTTCACTCTTCAGTCTCAAACTGACAACAGGTTATGTAACGACCACCCACGTGGTCCTAGGTAAAGGGATGACTGTGAGACAGGAAATGGTGTCCTTGTAATGCACTGCTGGGATAGGGGGCGGGTCTGCAGGGGAAGAGGAGCGGATAGAATACTAAAGACATGAAAGACCATGACTTCAAGAAGCTTGCATTTTAGTGGGCACAGGGAGGGTATTGATGCATGGATCAAAATAAGGTTTATTTTAAACAGGTTGCCCTTGGGTTGATTCTGGCTCTCAGTGACCTTGCGCATGTCTGGAGCATCATGGCTGATGTTTATTCCAAAGTGCCTTGAAACCAGAGCAGTAGAGCTCATAAAGTGTTGGCACATTAGGGACTCCAAAAGAGGCCATGAAAAGAGTGGCCGTGGAGCCAATTTAGGGCGGGGCAAACACCTGTGTTTCAAAGCAGACTGGTCTCCAGGACTGTGACCTGCCACAGGCCAGTGTCAAGGCTGAAGCCTTTCTTTGAAGGCTCCTGGGAACAGGTTGTGAGCATTTCAGTTAGGAGCCCAGCATTTTTATACCACCCGAGGGCTTCTTGAGGCCACGCGGACTTCCTTTACGTTGGAAACCCCTGCTGAACAGAACTGGCTAGGGAGGCAGTCTGGATTCTCAGAAGAAAGAGTTGAGCTCACAGCCAGCCTTCGCCATCATCCCGGCAAGTGTCTTTCTCCTCTGTGGGGCTCCGCATTAGAGCCCTGCTGGTGTAGTGATGGACTGAGGCTGTGCTCTCACAGTTTAAAACTGCTCTATGGGAGAAGGAAGGGACTTTCTACTGAAGCTAACAGTTACAATCTTGGAAACTCATAAAGGCAGTTCCACCCTGTCCTATAGGGTGACTGTGAGCCCACCTCGATTCAATAGCAGAGAGATTTATTTTCCCATTATGAAATCACACCTCAATAAACACCACTCAGTGATGCTGAGCCAATTCTGCCTCTCAGAGACCCTAGAGCAGTGGTTCTAACCTGCTAATGCCGCGACCCTTTCATACACTTACTCGTGTTGTGGTGACCGCCCAACCATAAAATGATTTTCTTTTTTTGCATTTTATTGTATTATTATTTTATATTTAAAAATCATTTTATTGGGGGCTCGTACAACTCTCGTCGCAACCCATCCATCCATCCATCCATCCATCCATCCATCCATCCATCCATTGTGTCAAGCACATTGTACATTTGTTGACATCATCATTCTCAACACATTTGCTTTTTACTTGAGCCCTTGGTATCAGCTCCTCATTTGTTGCTACTTCATAACTGTAATTTTGCTACTGTTATGAATCGGACAACCCATGTGAAAGGGTCGTCCCACCCCCAATGGGATCATGACCCATAGATTGAGAACTGCTGCCCTGTAGGGAAGAGTGGAATTGCTTCCTGGAGTTTCTGAGTAGTGGAGTGTGTTCCAAGCACCCACCTTTCAGTCAGCAGCCCACTGGGTAACTCACTGGACAATCAGGCCTGGAACCACAGCATGTGATCATTAAAAACCTTCTCTTAAACATAGTTAATACTTCAGTAATAGGGTATCAAAGATAAAATTACAAATTTGGAAAAATAACTGCACACAAATATATGAACACAAAAATATTAGCAATGGTCATTTCTGGATCATGAGGTCATTAATGGTTTCATTTTCTATCTTTCTACAATGCTTGTCTTTTGTAACCACATGAACTAATAAATATTATAGTGTGATATATTCTAATATATATAGTGTTTGTGGTAGTCCAGGTTGACTAGAGAAATAAATCCAGAGACACTCATATGTGTAAGAGAGATCTTTATGTCAAGGAGCAATTGTACATTGAGAAAACATCCCAGCCCCATCCAGATCAAGTCCATAATTTTGATATTAGTCCATATGTCTGGTACTAGTCCATGAAGCCTCTCTCAGACTCACGCAGCACATGCAATGAGGCCGTATGCAGGAAGATCACAGGCCAGTGGGTAAAGTCTTGTGAATCCAGTGGGGTGGAAGCATCTCGGTACACTGGCACGGGTCTCCACATGGCTCCTCCAGCTCTCTGAGGGTCTCTCAGCAGCAGGGAACTGAAGCAGAGAGAGGGTGTGGCCCACCTCCAGGGAGAAAGAGAGGAAGTTCCCAGAATTCTCATGAGAAGGCCACACCCACAAGGAGGCATCCTCAGACTGTGACCTGATTCACAAGGTAGACTCCACCCCTAGACTTATTTATCAAGCTGACATGAACTTATGTAACAACCACAGTGTCATATGGTTTCTCTTTTAATAAACGCAGGGTGGGTGGACATATGTAACCTCCTCTGACTTCGCCATTGACATGGGTCAGGGGTCCAATGTGCTTCCATGCTCCATCCCCCTTTACCTATTCTGACACCAGCCATTCCTCCCACAGCACTCTACATCAGCTGGGTTCAAAAATTCATTGCAATGGCCACACACCACTTTCAGACAATCCCCACAATTAAGGGGATTCAATAGAAAAGTCAATACAACAAAAAACAAACTCACTGCCATCAAGTCGATGCTGACTCATCGTGCCTCCAGTCCCCTCATCCATGGCTTTCTGAGACTTAACTCCTTATGGGAGTAGAAAGCCCCATCTTTCTCAGTGGAGCAGCTGGTGATTTTGAACTGCTGACCGGGGGGATCGCAGCCCAATGCGTAACCACTATGGCACTAGGGAGTCAATAGTTACCACAAGTTGGGACAGGCAAGTAGT